TCCGTTGTGGGTAAGAGAACATGGGTTAAGCTGGGGACGAACACAGTGTCCCTGACCCATGGTGGAACCCGTGGCTCTCCGCTGGCTCAGCCCACACCCCAGAGCTCCTCTGGGACTCGTGGCGCCCTGGGTTGATGGTGGGGTTCTCCTTCTCGACATGAGCTGCTCATACCCCACACGCTGTTGGCAGATTGCCGTGCTTGTGATGTTTGTGGTCTCCGTTATCCTGCACCAGGCAGTGGTCACCATCCTGCTCTCCAGCTTGGGGAACTTCTGATGGTGACTTCGGTAAGAGGTGGCCAGAGTGACTCCCAGAGGACTCCCAGAGTGAGTCCCAGAGGACTCGCGTGCTGGGCTTGCTCGTCACCCTCCATGCTCTGCGTGTTGCTTCTTCCTGTAGGCATCCTGCGTCGCCAGCATCAGCAGCTCGGTGGTGAACCTCATCTTCATCCTCATCCTCTCCAAGATCTATATTTCCCTGGCTCATGACCTCACCAAGTGGGGTAAGCTGGTGAGGGTCTTGCAAGCCGGATGGTGACGGGAGGGAGCGCTCAGTAAGGGCAGAGCCCCAAACCTGGGAAAGCTGGCCGACACTCAGGAGGACAATGGCTTTACGGAGGGGAGGAGAGCTAGAACGTAAGAACTTCAGTGAAAGTGTTTCAGCAGCAGAAAAAACCTAAATCATAGAAGCACAGAATGGTTAGGGTTGGAAGGGACCTCAAAGATCATCCAGTTCCCACCCCCCTGTCATGGGCAGGGACACCCTCCACTGCACCAGGTTGCCCAAAGCCTCATCCAGCCTGAATGAGTCTAGGGTTTAACTTCTGGGGGGTTTTAAGGAAAAGATCTAAGCCGACTTTTGAGGTCTGGAGGAGAAAAGCCTGTGGGATATTTTTGTTGCATTTAATGAGCCACAAAGACGGTTTGTACTGAGCGGAAGGGAGGAAGACTATTTCTTGGTGCAAAGCAGATGGGTGTCTCTAGACTCTGGATGAAGGCAGGTGCCTTCACGAGTACTGCAGCGGGTTGGGGGGCCCCGACCTGTGGGGGGCTGGTTAAGGGTTGAGCCATGTGGGGGGACAATGTGGAAGAGCATCCTGGAGCAGCGTAGGGCCACGTCCCAGTGCTTCCCCCTGGCAGAGATGCACAGCACCCAGACCAAGCATGAGGACACCTTCACCTCCAAAGTGTCCATCCTCCAGTTTGTCACCTTCTACTGCTCTCCCATTAACATTGCCTTCTCCAAGGGCGAGGAAGGCCTTTGTGGGAACCAGGGGTCCTCCCCATCCCCTGCGGGAGCCCTTGCAGGGCCATAGGGATTCTCGGAAGGAGGGCAGTGCCAGCCTGATGCAGCTGGTCCCAGTCTGGGACTGGGGGACCTCTCCATCAGAGGCACCCACTGCCAGCCTTTTCATCCCCCTCAGCAAGGGAGAAGAGGGCTCTGGGTGAACTGGCCAAAGCCCTTCCTTCCCTGAGGCTGCTGCGGATGCATCACTGGGGTTCCTGCTCATGGTCGCAGCTCCTGTAGGTTCATTGGCTACTCCAGGAACTTTCTGGGCATCCGCAACAAGGAGGTGAGTGCCAGGCAGGAGAGACACCATGTCTGCCGCCCCGGCTGGGGCCCACGTGCGCCGCAGGGACGCCTTCCTGAGCCCGGGGTCCTTTGATCCCTGTGTGCCGGCTCCGGCAGACTCCGGCAGACTCTCTCCCCGCAGTGCAGCCCAGGTGGGTGCTCCATCGGTGATGGACCCCAGCTGCTGGTGTTTGAGGGGCTGTTTGATGAGTACCTGGAGATGGGGAGACGGGCTGCCCCACTCCCCAAGGGATAGGGCTGGGAGATGCCGCAGCTGCCACCGCCATCTCTCAGGCTGTCCCTCCCCGCTCCTGCTCTTCCTCCCAGTCCTGCAGTTTGGCTTCATCACCACCTTTGTGGCAGCCTGTCCCCTGGCACCCCTCTTCACCCTGCTCAACAGCCGGGTGGAGATCCGCTGGGATGCCCACAGGTCTGGCTGTGACTACCAGCAGCCGGTGGCCGAGCGAGCGCAGGGGTTTGGCACCTGGTTCCGCATCCTGGAGGCCATCGCTCACCCGGCCCTCATCAGCAGGGAAGGGGCTGCGAGTGCCGTAAGGGAATCAGGAGGAAAAACTCATCTGGCTGCTGCGGGATGCGGAGTGACGAGGGGAGGTGTGGTGCCTGGGGTGGGCCCGCCTTTGCCGAAGGCGCAGCTCCAGCTGCGGGCGGTGGGAAGCTGTCCCCCCGCGGGGCACGCAGCCCTG